GGGGGGGGGGGGTCAGAGCTAATTATCAAAATAATGTTAACTTGGTTTTCACCAGAAAGAACCATCCAAGGTCCATTCTGACCTGCGGAGAGCTTGTTCTTTAGGAGGGGGGAGTTTTTGCACTCCTCTGCAAGCTGATGCTGCTGCCACCGCTGCTACTCACCCAGGAGTGTGCACAAATTTGCATGACTACTTTTGTGCGCGTGTGTGTGAATTCTGTCACACGTGTTGACCATCAATAGTGTGTGCGCTTGCGCCATCATCATCACCCTTTGTGTGGGTGTGTGCACGCGCCCGCCTCGTTCGTTGTGCTTTGCTTTCGTGCCTATACACCAGCAGTTGTGGCTTGCACCTCTGTCATACCTCCTCATCTTCCACCTCAGTATTTCAATTTTTGTGTATGTGTACTGCAATGCTCCCCCACACTGGCGATTGGGGTGGCTGCAACAAGTACATCCATTGCGGTCTTTAGCTCCCTTTTTTTACTAGGTGGTGGCATGATCGCATTGAAATAAGATATATGAGTGGCAAGATTGGTGTTGGTTAAATGCGTGAATTCCTTCTCACCATTTACTTTTTCCATTTTGTCCATCGGGCTGGCAGAGGCGATGGATTAAGGCTTGTGGGTCTTGCTTGTCGTCTGCGTGGCGCGAGTGGTTTTCTCTCCTGCTGCGTGCGCAAAACATTTCTCATAACTAAGAACCTGTCACAGTTTCTAGTTTCCTTTGTGGTTTCTCTGAAGTAATGGTGATGCTTGCGCCTTGTTGGGACCCAGTTTATTTCAAAATTCTCATCCGACTTCTGGCCTGACTAGGGATAATCTGCACTACCTCACGCTCATATTTGATAGTCCTTGTGCTCAATTCCTTCTTGGTTTTTCAACCCCACTAAGTTGCGTCGCTTTGCTCCTGTCAATCAAAATTCGCCCCATAGCGTGTAGCCATGTCTGTTTTCTGAGTGCTTCACGCTTAACCCTTCTTCTGCTCCTTTCTTGCCATTGTTTTTATCTTTTAGTGAAGCTCTATGAGGTGATTGAATCTGATCGTCACGTCTATCTGGTAATGGAATTCGCCGCAAATGGTAAGCGCTCCCATTGTGTCCCATAAATCATGTCAACAGGACTTTTTTATTACGTGTTTGTAAATCCGTGCCTAAATATAACCTCAAAACAGCTCTACTGTATTTCCCTCTCATTAAGTTTCCCCCTACTGTGTAGGGTGCTCCATGCGTGCAGTGTTTATTTTCACAGTAAGGCAGTAATATCTGTTGCCATGGCACTCAATATGTTGTTAATGTGTTTTGTTTTTGTTGGGATGGCACACCTACCAGGAGTTGCATTTCGACTTGGATCGTTAAAAGTCTCTCACTAAATTGATCCTCAAATTCATGTAATTTATCCAAAAATGACCCTTTTTGTCTTCGATCAAGAATTAGGGTTCGGTCCTACACCCACTGCTGTTTGATAAGTACATAATGTAGTCAGTGTGATCTTTTGAGTTTTGTCGTAGGTCTCTTCAGTGGCTGCTCCGCCATTTGGGAGAGCTTCTTCTGTCACGGGGGTGACCGTGTGAACTGTTTAAATACGTACTTGCGAAGTTGTGCAATAGCTCCAACTCATTCATGCGTGCGCATCTACTGGTGCGTTTTTTGCTCAAGTGAAGCTCTTATTTCTCATCCCTTTCGGTTATTACATATGTTTTCCACATGACGCTTCCCTTAGTACCTTGCATGGGAAATGATTTTCTTCATCGTCAGTAAACCTTTTCACAGTTGGTCCCCGTTGAGTATGAGCCCGTGCACATCAACACTAGGGTGCTCTTTCAACTTAGTTATTGACAGCCGCGTTCTGGTTTCATCAGACACTTGTGGTGTTCTCGTTATCCCTTGCTCCCTTCAGATGTGTTTTCGTGTCACTCGTCAGCCTTTATGTTTGAATAATATGTGGCTTCTTCATGGCTTAGTTTCTTTCGCTATTAATCACTTCTCTCTCTGTCACATCCGACCAATAGCGGCTAATTTATTCGCCCCAAAGACCGTGTTTCTTTTCCTTTGCCGCCCTCTCCCCCCTCAGTGGCATTAACCAGGCCACCTAAGGCCCACTGCCACTCAAAGCCAGTGCATCACCGTGTGCGCGCCTGACTAGTGGCAAGTTGCCTATCTGCTCTTGGCTCCTCTCTCTCTCCCTCTGCTGCCTTGTTTACTGTGGCTTGTTAACTTATGCTGCCAAATATTCACACACACCACTGATTTTATCGGTGTCCTGTTTATTTCGGGAAGGTTTTGAGGCCGAAATTTATGATCCAGCGGTCGCTGCTCTTCAACTTTTTATGCGAATTGGATTTTTATGCCTACTGCCATCCGGAAAGGTATTCCTCTGTCCTAATCTCCTGAAATTTGGACAGTTCACTTCTCGAAGGTGAAGCTGATGTCATTTATTGAAAGGACGGATCTTGTTAACTCCTTTTATGTGGTCGTCACCTCTACATTATTTTTCATTATGGCTATGGGAACTGAGTTTGCTTTATTCCGCTTATTGCAGCAATTCCCATGCGTTAGTTGGGTGCAATGTTTTCCCACACCTGTCATCGGTTGTGCTGCTGAGATGCCCCTCTAACTGCAGTCATCGCAGAGAAGTTTAGTTTGACTCAGAATGCACTTCTGAACTTTTGGCACATTCTTCCCACCCTGGGTGAGGCATCAGAATGTTTCCACACTGTGTGAATCATGCATAAGATACCAGTCAGCGATGTGCTGTTGCATGGTCGTGGTGTCTTTACTTCGTATTTGTGCGCTTCATTCTGTTTTTTTGCAACCTTAACACATTTAAGGCTCACTTCCAAATATTTGGGAGAATAATCCTTGAGCATTCGCACGCGTTTTTGACCTAAATATTCTGGATTTTCACTTCATTTGGATGAAACTATTTGATCTTATTCAGTGCATTCTGGGTCCTCTACCTTTGAGTGATCACTGTTTCAATGAACTGTTGACATTTTTGGCAATGGGGGCAGTGCAGATCGCTTATTTTCGCCTGTCGCATCGCCAAACATTACTTCAAAATGGCTACATCGCCAAGTGCCCCCTCTAGCATGTCTGGTGCAATTCTTTTCGGGCGCGAATCTTTCTCGCATGCATTGTAGGTGAGCTCTTTGAATACCTCGTGTCCAATGGTCGGATGCGTGAGAAGGATGCTCGCATCAAGTTCCGTCAGATTGTCTCTGCGGTACAGTACTGCCACCAAAAAAATATCGTCCACCGTGATCTCAAGGTTGGTCTCCCCTTCTTCACTTCATCCCACATTCTGGAAATTTGTTGAATATTATGTAGAGGTAACCCAAGTGTGTTGCATTGTGCTGAAGGCAGAGAATCTACTCCTGGATGCCGATTACAACATCAAATTGGCCGACTTCGGTTTCTCCAATACATTCCGCGCGGATAAGAAATTGGACACATTCTGTGGGTCGCCACCGTACGCAGCGCCCGAGTTGTTCCTTGGCAAGAAGTATATCGGTCCTGAGGTGGATGTTTGGTCACTGGGCGTCATTCTCTACACCATTGTTGCCGGGTACCTTCCCTTTGATGCACAGAACTTGCGGGTTAGTTTTAGCTTCCTATGTTTTCTACTGTCATGTCTACCTACAGCATTACTGAAAATGTTATGCTGCTCTCCTCTTGATAGGATCTTCGTGAACGTGTTCTCCGTGGCAAATATCGCATCCCCTTTTTCATGTCCACCGATTGCGAGATGCTGCTGAAGCGCATGCTTGTCCTTAACCCAGAGAAAAGGTATTCACTCTTAGTAAGTTATTTTCATTTTTACCTTTTCTGTTGTTCCAATACTGGGACGCCTCATTTTCCCTCACAAACTTCAATTACATTATAGTCTGTCATGGAGGACAAATGGACGAATATCAACATGGAAGACAATATTCTCCGACCCTACCAAGAACCACCGCCTGACTTCAAAGATCCTATTAGACTTGGTAAGGTCACTTGAGTACTCGGAGAAAAGCGAATTTTTTACTCATCATCATACATCCCCAATTCTTAAATTCGACCCAACTTGTTTCTCTTCTCTCCTTACTGTTTTTTGCCTATCTTTCGGTTTGTGCTAACGCAATTAGTCTCCACTAGTAACACCTTGGCTGCATGCCAAAATACGAAGGGTGCTTTTGCACTATTTGATCAGTACGGGTAGTGGCTGCAATTTTTTGGCTTTCTATGTCTCTTCGCATCTGCTTTTATACTCTTTTTCAAATCTTGTGATCTTTTTGAGGTGCCATTGCCTCCCTCTTTTCGTTGACCCCTGTCATTGCCCCCTCCCCTTATTCAACTCAAAGTTTCTGCTAGGTAAACATATCTTATGCTGTAGTTCTTTTTCTTAAAGGATTCTCCCACCATATTGTTTAATTTATTTTCCAAACAGCATGTGATATTGTTGTTTGCGAAAACCGGATTTTGATATGTCTAGGTTTAGTTGGTTGCAAGCATGGTGCAGTCGATTTCCCGAACCCTGTTGGATTCAACAATTTAAGTAGGTACTTCTTGCGCTTTTGAGCGTCTACTGTATTGGTACACTTTGTGACGGAAGATTGGAGTTGTACCGTGATTGCTGATGATTTTGTATGCATTTCTGACAACATCTCTGTTGTTGTTGTTGTTGTTTTTGTAGCCAAGATGGTCGAGATGGGCTTCACGCTGGAGGAGGTTAAGGACTCTCTGGAGAATAATAAATTCAACAACGTGACAGCTACCTACTTCCTCTTAGGGACGGATCGCTCCACCTCCTCTAACTCATCCCTCTGTCCCCAATTACCCTCTTCCGTCAGCATTTCCAACCGCCCCGCCGCCTTCACCACTACCGATGACGGCTCCGCATCTGTGTCCACCTCCGATCCCGCCAAGTCCGTGTCTACACCCAAAGGATCTGCCGCCGTTGGCACCACACCTGCTGCTGTTGCTGATGGCGGTTCTGCCTTGACCACCCTCGAAGATTCAGGTATGCCTCTGAGGGCTGGAGTAATGCTCTCTGCTTAATAGAAATTAACGTCTCACATTCAATTTCCGTCTTTGATGGGTTCGTAATCGTTAGCACCGTTTATCGGACTGTCATTCAATCGAATAGTCTTTTGCCAACAATTCATTCCTCCATTCAGCCAGATGAAGTTGCGTGTTTCGTCGAAGTGTCTCCTCCCCTCCAAAGTTGGGAGACTGGATGGGTCGCTTTCGATATTTGCGGTAGATCGATAGTTTGCTATCATTTGGGAAGGAATTTAATGTTTGAGAATGGATTTAGTACTTAGCGTATTTTTCCTCTTTTCTGTTTTATTAATTGTTTAGATGCTTACATTTGGTATTGGACGTTAATGTTGGTTTGGGTAAATTTTCCGGTATCGCTGATTTCCGTTGCAAAACAACTTTCTCGGATTTTAGACACACCTCAATTGCTGGCCTCTTCAGCCTCCATCAGAAAGAGTTCCTCTTCTACGCGTGCAAACGGATCTACTAACTCCACCGTTCCCGCTGCAGAGTCTACCTCCGATTCTACCTCGTCTGCCAGCGGAAAGCAGAAATCCGCTTGGGCACAAAAACGCGGGTGAGTTCTTTAGCTCTCTTGCTGTTATTCTGGAAAGCTTTTCACAATCTCAATTAGATTCAATTTTCTCTCTCAGGGAGACTGTTTCCGTTGAATCGACGACTGTCACCAGTGGCGTAAGACCTGATAAGCCAAAGGTGGCTATTCCAACTACTCACTTTGATACTCCCAAGTCATCCGAGGCCCCAAGGGACTCTCCCACTAATCGACCTCCGTCGAAGCCGTCTGGCGGCATTGGCAGTGGTAGTGGTGTTCGGAGAACGCGAACCTTCACGTCCACGGATAAACGCCGCAACACAGTTGCTGTCGGAGGCCCTGGTGGTGCTGAGGGTGACTCTGATGTCGCAAAGGCTCTTATTCGCGTCCCCAATATGGACAACATCGTCGAGTACGCTTATCACTTATAATTGGATTCGGATAGCATGCTAAAATTCAACTTTTAATCCATAATTCCTGTTTATGGTTAGCAACCATTTATTTGCTTCTGTGCTTTTCGATCTTTTATTAGATGTTAAAGTGTAAAATGGCGATGGTAACATAAACTATCAAGCACTTTTGCATTGTCATTATTCTTAATTTTTGGTATCAATATGCGTCAGTTTTTTTCCTTGCTTCACTGGTAATGCGTGTAATCGGTCACCTTGTTATTGCTTGAATCCCGCACTTCAGATCCCTAGTGTTCGAAGCTCTTCAGGTACTTTAGCAATCCTGCTAAACGCTTTGAAGTCCAGTTATCTTTCTGTTAATCTGCTTCTCTTTGTTCCTCGTTTTTTAAATGTTTTGCGGAGCTCTTTTAAAGTTGCTTTACCCCGCTGATCCCCCTAGGTAGGAATTATTTTTAGCAGCTCGGATTAGTTCACAGCTTTATCCCTGATTATTTTGCTACCTCCCATCCCTCTGCCAAGGATTCATTGCTGTGGCCCACGATTGGCAAGAAACGAAGGTAAGCGTAGTTCACTAGTCCAACCATTTCTTTTTTATGGTATGTTGGAGCTCTTGTTCCTGGTTGCTTACCTATCCTTCACTACGGTAGCTATGTTAACGTCTACTGTGCTTTTTGCTCTTAAAATGCGTTTATCGAGTTACGTTGCCACTAGTTTGCATTCGCTTTCTCTCATCCCCTCCACTGAGTGCATACTACGTCCTTTTTTACAGCCAAGTGGGTGCTAAATCAGGGGGAGAGCGGGACGCATCGGACCGAGAGCTGGATGTCGACGGTTTGGGGGTTCACTCCTCGGCTAGTGGACGCTGTGCTGCTAGTGGTTCGAGTGATCTCCGGCTGGGAAAGACCCTGAAACAGGCCACCACTATGCCTAGTCCTACTTCCCCCCGTGGCTGCGCCGACGATAGCGAATGCAGCACCCTCAAACGCCAGGACTCGTAAGTGTCTCACTCGCTATGTACACACACCTGCACGTTTAAACACTCCGTTCGTGTCAGTTTCCCCCTTATGGCTGACGAGGGTGTGACTCGCTTAGCTATACTGGTGTGATTACAGTTAATTAACCCCACCTCGTGTCTAGCTTGTCCACGGCTGAGAGCGCCTATGAAGTCACCAGCCTGGACGAAAATCGTGGAGGCGGAGGGGCGTTCTTTTGTGGGTGGGTTTTGCGGTGTGTGTGTGTGTGTGTGTGCGTTCTGCTTCCATATTCGCCTAAGATACTAACCGAGTTCTTATTGACTGTCTGTGCGCCCACTTTCTCCGCCCACCTTTTGTCATGGGCGTCAATTGACATCTCCTCACTACTGTTACCTTCACCACCACCACTACCACCATCATTTGTCGTTTTGTGCCATTCGTGTGATCCACTCTAATTTCTGCACGAGGTGGTCGAATCGTTTCAGGGGTGTCGCATGAACATCTGGCGCGCACATTCACTTAATTTTTTATTTATTCTAATTCTTTTTGTTTTTTTTTTCAAATCTCTGCTGCCCCTTGGAAATTTACCGCCATTCAGCTTCTGGAAGCGGGTTAGAAGGTAATTTTCCAATTTTTATCACCGTCTTACAATTACGCAAATTGTTCTTTTTTTCTCCAAGGAAAAGTTTTTTAGTAGTATATTCGCATTTAGTTGGTTATGATGTAATCGTTATTTAATCATGCTTGTTTAAATTTGCTTAAGAGCGTCTTTATCAGTTCCCGTTGGAGTGGTGCTTTCTTAGCAAAACTTCCTTTGTGTTTTTGCAGTAGTTCTCTTATCAGCTAAGCCTTTCCTGTATGCTCTTGTAGGAGCATGTCACGGAAGCATCAACGCAACAAGTCGCGTCCGGCAATCCACTTTGAGGCAGCGGATGAGGTGCTTTCCGCCGATCATCCTTCACACGCAGTTGCCAAAGTCGAGCCCAACACAGTACCCACCTTCATGCGGGGCGCACCAGACCGCAGTACCGCCCCGGCAGCTCGCATCGTCCGCCACGCCACCAACACTGCAGTGGAGCACTCGCAGCGATTCAGGCCCCCCGTCACCTCCTCTTCACCTCTGACGCACTCCTCCCAGCAACAGCGGCAGGCGGAAGTGATAGAGTCGCCGGTGCGGGTGACCACCAAACCCACTGAGTACCACCACTCTTCATCGTTCCTCCGCAGTGTCTCCTCGCGGCTGAGCAAGAGGTAAGCCGATCCTTCATCGCAATTCTTGTGTTCCATTCGTCGTACGTGTGCATTACGCGACTCCCGAAACTGTTATTCTTGCTGTTATTCATTTCTCACAGTTTCCGACGCAAGAGAAACCGATCGCAGTAAGTTGCCCGCTAGCTCGGTGTACACCTTAGTGTATCACTCCCCCATTGTCTTTTTTCACTGACACTCGATGTCGGCTATTTCACCACTTCCGCTGTCGATGACATGTGCTAATCCTCCTCCACCTCCAACGACTCCACAGTCATCGGCACTTAGTGTCGCTTTTGCAGCAATCTTTGTTATCCTTCTACGTAGGAACAATTGCTCTTTTTTCCTAAGTTTGCACTTTCACAATCTGTCTACTTTAAGGTCTGCCTTATCTTGGCGCCGCGCTTCTACCTTATGCGTGCACTTTGCTTTAATGTCTGGTTATTTTTCTTGCTATCACGCAGCCCTGTAACCTATTGTGACAACAAAATAAGGTCCGCACTTTGCGGGTTCATTGGTGTTTTTGTGAGGTTAAACTCATTCCATAGCGTAGGAATGAGTGTGCCAGACTGTGAAACCGCATGCTTGGGATTCAGGGCGGCATTTTCTGCGGCAATTAATTGTCATCTTGAGCTGAGTCGTTTGCTTTACCTAAGCGTTTTCTGGGTGTGGGAAATCACGATCAAATTTCCCTATTTCATCCACCCTAGACAATTCGGCGTTTCTTAGTTTGCTCGAAATCAGACTCCTGCCTGCAAACCCCATGGTTTTACTTTCCAGATTGATGCATTAAACAGCCTGCAATTTGTGATTTACAGCTTTAAAAATTTTTTACAAATCGTCAATAAAAAATATTGGAATTGCGCTGCCTAACCCGCTGCAGTTTTTCTTGTAAAGCTTTCTACTGATTCCTAAGTAGCTTGCAAATCAGTTTACTATGCAGAACTCCACGAGAGTTTACGTTTCTCCCCTGCCTTCAGCTCCAGAACCACACCGACACGTGGGGCCTCCATACAGGCAGCAGTGGAGCGAGGGGAGGCAGGCAAGCAGGGTGACAGTTTGATGGCCACCGACTCGCCGATTCCTGCGCACCACCGCGCCTTCTCTTCCGAGCGGAAACATGCTGTCATCACCACTGATGATCCTTGGAGTTCTATGTTGCCTGAGAAGGGTCATTCAGAAGGTGAACTCTCCCCCTTTGATATGCACCTCCCTTATATGGCGGTGTGACCGGTGAAAATGAGTCGGGCAACTTTTCGTTTCAGTTTTATCACCCGTGGGGCCTAATTATGTTGTAGGAGAGGCGCTGGTGGCAAGCATTAGCAACAGCCTGGAGCCGCTGCTGCCGGCCTGCTTCGATAAGAAGCCTCGCAATATCTCCGTCTTCTCGGGCACCTGGCGGAAGGCCTCCTCCTCTTCTACGTCCGCCACCATCTTCGGCTCCAACCCTGACCGGTTGATGAGTCAGCTCATCAGCGCTCTCAACACCGCTCGCATTCACTTTGCCCGACCCGGCAAATATCGTCTGCAGTTCGTCTTCTCGCCACTGCCACCTGTCCCCTCCGCTAATGCCAATGCCGTCACCTCCACTGCGGCCTCGCCGATGGCGGGATTCGCGTCGAAGGTGCGCCATCGAGTGCGCGTGGTAGTGGAGGTGTGCCACGTCTTTGGCACAAACTCCTATGTGACACGCTTCAAGCACCTCTCTCCCTCTAACTGCCCTGCGGCCGCCACAGAGGACTTCAAGGCGGTCACCCAGGGCCTCATCCACTTGGTCCGGACCTCCATGTCCACACTCTCCTCCTCCGCTGCCGCTGCCTCCTCTTCATAGGCCCCCATAGTTATCTGATGACGTCTAATCGATGATCTGTGATTTTAATTCTCTATTTCGTGACTACCACTGCTGCTGCCGCCATTCAGAATGCTTTTGCCCCATTTCCCCGTGTTATGTTTCTCTGCTTTTTCCTTTCTCACTCAATTTCTTTCACCGCACTCAGGCGCCCTCCACAGTGGTAATTGTGTGTAAACTGATTTGATTTGCCCTGGCTGTTTGCCAAACAAGTACGCGCACAGAAATACTATTTCCTGCCTCGACTTGTGTAAAAGCCTCACACCTTACGTGCGTGAACAAGCCCTCCTCCCCTTTCCCCTATACTCCCCTTCAGAGAACTGAGCTAGTGGATGGAAAAAAATGTGCTTCGAGATTTCTTCATTGGTGTCAATTAATTGGGAACCTTGCGAGTCGGGGAGGGACGCCTCTGTCGGTTGACATCTGTCGATCCAGTCGTTTTGTGGTTAGGCGCAGAATTATTTGGGCCAAGTGCCCTCCAATTGGCTTTAGTGGTCGCAGCATATTTTCACCAAGTAAGTTTGCTCATTTCTGCGATGGGAGTGTTTCCAGCGTGTACTCACACCCGGACCCGAACACTCCTGAAGGCCATAAAGCCTTCAATTTGTGTAAATGCTTTTGTTAGATGGGAGTTCGGCTGATTGCCCCGCACAAGTCTGTACACAGATGATACTGATGCCCTGGCGGCTTCATTGGCCCTGTCAGTAACTTGAATAATCTCCAGCAGCTGCGAAAACGCACGGATAAGGCACATGTCTTGTCTGCCGTTAATCTTCAGCGGCACACAAGTTTCCAACTTATGATGGCGCTCCAGCCGGGAGAAACACGTGACCGTGTTGTTCATCAGGTGGTTTAATCCGTGCAATTTGCCAGGAATGCCCCCGTTGAGCCCTAGTTAATAAGCCCTTGTTAATTATGAAATAACTCTGTAGTGGTTCCTCTATCGCGGTTTTAGCGGGTGAAGGAAAACAGCCATACAACCACCACAATCACACAGCGTCAAAGAGACCCCGAGTATTGTATGATAAGTAAAAACCGACACCCAGTTTAAGTCACTTCAACTTCAAGTACTTTACCCGCAAGAACAGTGTGTTTAAATTATGGCTCATGGAATGAACGTACTTTTTAGCACAGCTCTTCTAGAACTGGAGTTCAACCGTTATGAGCATAAAACAACGACTACAGACATAAACGCAGTCAACTTGGCAGCTAAAACTACTCCCAAACAATGCGTTAATTACAACTTTTTGAGTGTTCGGCTTCGTTACCAGAACTGTCAGAGGAAGTAGGAGGCTGTGGGGGTACAGAAGACGGCGACAATTGCAGTAGATCGTCCTCAACGGTCGTGTCCGCCAACTCGACCCGCCACCGCAGACCAGGTGTGTCGCTGCGGCGAATGTAGTAGACGTTGCGCGCTTTGGACGCAACATCGTCCACTGTCTTCCGTACCAGCCCCCCCGGTAACTCCACCTGAGTGTGGTAGCTGGGGAAGACTCGACGCTTCTCGTCTTCTGTCGGTTCCATGGGGACCTAAAAGTAAAGGCTACTTTAAAACTTATTTAATTTCACCGCTGTTTATCCAACAGCCTCTCCTTAAGATAAAGGCAAATTTTTAGGGGAACCAACCACTAAATTATTCTGGAACTATAAAGTCCTAACGGCCATAGATAATTCGTAAAATAAACGACATTCGCTCATGTTATTTGTTGATTTGCACGAAGGACAGATGCTCCTGTGGATCGTTAACAAATGATCTCTCAACTCCAGGCAGAATTAAGCTAGCAATAACTACTTAAAAACAAAAGTCAAAGCCAGTTCGGTTTTAAAAATTCCTGCATGAAGACGAAGATGCACAGCTATTCCTTTAACATTAAAAGCTAACTATACATTTTATGTTGGCTGGATAGTTTTGACAGATGAAAAATTATTAGTCAAAAGCAATACGTCAGTAAGTTGCAAATCCGATAACTGGGACAATGTTCAAGCTACCATACAAGACAAGATGGTGGAAATATAAGTCCTGCAACAAGAAAAATTACTTGAAAAAGAGTGGGATTGTCGAAGATTTTCGTCAACAAAAGATATCCGTCTCCTTCACGCGCAGCAGCAGTTGCAGTTGAAGGAACAGCCTGACGCGCAGCTGCAACAATATCCTTCGGAATTTTCCCTAGATTGCGCAGTTTTATTGCAAGAACCGGCGGCATAGGAGCCACGCATTTGACTGGTACATATGGAGCACGATTTGACCCATGGATGGTACTCTCCTGCAACTTTTCGCCCTCCTCAATGCTTAGGAGACGCCAATCAGGTTCGTGGGAATTCGGAACGGGAACAACACCGAAGTTGTGCCCACGAAATACACGTTCAGCAAAAGCGCGACACCTCACACCTGACTAGAAATAAGTCAGTGATATTGTACAAGTAAGGTCTATTTGACAGTTAACTGGGGGAAAATAACTCACCGGATCTGACATCAATGGCTCAATTTTCTTAATCACGTAAAAACATGGTTCTTTGTGCATTCTTGTTTCAGACTCTTTGATAACAACACGACCGATTCCCCTGTCGCATAGGTTATTGGCAATTTCGCTCAGGTATTTTCCATAAAAGTCCAAGGAAGGGCGACCCACATATTTTATTTTAGTCATTATACTCCTAGCGTAGAACTGTGCAAAGAAAACACCACCTCAAATAAAGCGGCATTTGGCTAACCAGTGGGTGCAGCGAAATTAGGCACTGCTCCTCATACCTTGCCATTGCATGAAACACCTACATGCTTTAATGTAAAGTTAGTAACAATAACTGGCCTAATTGCTGTATTTTTTAAGTACTGTGCACCATGGTCGAAGTCCCTTATTTGTAAATGCAGTGAAATTGTTCAGTAGTTCCAATTATTAAACTATATTTTTGACGTCGCCTCACATAATTGCCATGCCTTTAAAATAATTTTGTCTATATATACTGTATAAAAAAAGGTAAATTAAATTAAGTACAATGAGCACTGTGTATTAGTTAAGGTAGGGAAGATTTTGTGACTAATATTTATTGGCGGCAGGGCTCTGCTGCCAAGTGGAACTACGGCCGCCACATTTAATTCCCTGCTTAGTTCAAAAAATGTAAAGCCGTTAACTTCTTACTGCATCCAATGTAGATAGCACTACCTGACGTAGGCAAATTTCATATTTAGATGAACGAAGTGATAGATGTACTGTATTATCGTGAAGAATCCCGGATCACCTCTGAACCCGTAATAAGAAACAGCAATTATGAAAACACTTTAAAATTGATGCACGAAAGAGCTCGGAACAACAGATAAGCATGATATCTCATGTCCACTAGGTGGTGCGACATATTTCACGAAGGCTGTTGGGTCCGCAAACATATATTGTTCAAATGGTTCCCTATCCATTCCTGTCTTAGAGCATTGTGTGTTGCTTGGCCCTCACACTAATTGCAACGCGGTTGTGTTTAACCTTCAATGCTTGTGGTCATACTTAAATAGAATGAGTACAATGTGTAAGAGCGCAATCAGTTCAGACGTTGTAACCGGAATCTGTAATGGAGATTAACCAGAAAATCCTAGTATAAAGTAAAATAATACAACGTTCATATATTAACGTAGATCCTTTTAGCCCAAAAATATTTGCCGACTGCATCCATTTCCTTCGATAGAATCCTTAAGGGAAAGCCTTTCCTTTTTCCTGATAATTGCTTTTATCTAGGAAAAGTCGTGATGTCATAGCAAAAGTAAACTTTGGACCTCTCAGTGAGACACTCAATGATATGTTATACACGGGTGATGAATTTCTATCTACGAATTTTAAAGCACAAGCATAGTACTTCGATTGTTTGCATAAATCTGCGCTTCGGTAATGAGCCATGCACAGTTCCGCCATTGCACATCTTCCGTGGGCCTGGCCTCCAAGCCATGTCAGTAGCCCCCAAGCCCCATCCTAAAAGACAAATTTTCTAATTGTGATTGGTGAATGGTAAACCTTAACGTGCCGTAAAAGTGCAGATTCTGCGGCTGGGAGAATCTGTGACTAAATTTAGCAGAAGGATTATAAATGACGTCCGCCTTTGGCAAGGACTCCAGTCCCGTGTTCTGCAGGAGAGCTATTAACAACAGACGCTACACTGATTGTTAACCAGCTGAAAAAGATTGTTACGTAGCTGTCTATCGTACCTGCATAAAGATGTCAATCATGTGAATGCGCCTCCACTTCTCTACTTGATGGAATGAACTCCGGTGGATAGTGCCAGACTGCATTGAAGTGAAAAATCCAGTGGCAAGGAGCAATAGATACGAAACCTTATTGCCATAAAAATATTTTAGGTCCCGTCATTTGACTAGCTATGTATATGCTTGATGGCCAGCATATTCTTTCTTCCCCACAATGCAGTTACCATACAGGATAAAATGCCAGATTCAGTTGAAACATAAAGAGGGATTAGTGACATTGCGGTCAAATGTCTTCTCACTTTCACGCAAATTCGTTGACTGGTGCGGTTGGTTTGTGGGTATTTTCCATGCAGCACGGATTGCGTTGTGATGGTGTCACGGGAGGTTGAGCGGGCACTTAAAGCCGCCATCATTATACCCCTGTTAGTGACCTGGCCCCCGGACCAGGCCAGTGAACCCCAAAGCCTTCTCCAGTGCAACTACACACATTATGCATTCTTTCGGCTTCAGCGAAGTTTTGAGGAGATACACTGGTACAAAAAGGGTAAAGTTGGGATCACTACTTCACCATTCGGTGCCGCAGCAGTTTCATTGCAGTGGGTTAAGGGTGCTTAAAAACCTTAAAGCAAGAAGGTAAGTGGTTCCAAATTCAACAAAATTTACAATCTTGGATTGTAAATGCCATTTACCGTTTTGATTGTGAATAAGGTTCCTACTCTATGTAGCAATAATTATCTATTAAATTGTTTAAAAAGTGGGTTGTAATTTACATTACCTGGTTTTTGATAGCGCACGAGACAATTAAGTTGTTTTTTATCCTTTAAATGAAAAGTTGCAATTGAGCATTCAATAAGAAATCCACGAACGGTCATGCGTTTAGAGGAGGATGCTCTGTCTTCCAAAAGAGGTGTCGATTGGGAACCTAGTTTCAGTGGGGGGGGGGGGGGGAGGACAACATTAAGGTCAGTGTTTGGGCCAAGCATTCATCCCCCCTGAGCACAATGGAGGAGACAATTTATCCTAATGAGGAATAAATGTTACCTGAAAGTGTACTTAATCAAACCAGGGAACTAAAAGCAATCCCATTGACGACTAGATCTCCCCTTGTATAGTTTTAAGGTTTCAAGTCTACCCGAGCAGAAATGTGCTCCAATAGATGCATTCAAAACTAACCTCAGGGTGATAAAACTTAACAGCACCAAAATAAAAAAGCCTGAAGATTAAATAGACCAAAGATGCAGCGGGTAATGGAAGTCGAGTATTGTCAGTGATCCATTCGCAAGACTGCATGGCATGGTCTCAGCGATCCCCATGAGAAATTCAACCAACCGGCCGATTTCACCGGTGGTGCAACACATATTCCAACTCAGAGCCCCGAGTGAATAGAGACCTTAAAAGTTCTTTAAAGGGGACGAATCCCACTCATCCTCCGAAAGAGTCTTCAATTACTAATTTTTTACTGCGTGCCCAAACAATTTATGATGTCCCTTTTGGTTGCTATTCCCATAAAAGCAAAATGAACCCGTGTGTAAGGGTGAATCAATTGCCACTGGCATGGAAACACTTAAAAGAGGGCACAAACGTGCAGTTTTTGCCGCTGTTAAGTTGAAACCACAATGAAGCATGATTTGTTGAGCATTCCAATGCAACTTTGAACTAGCTAGTGTGGGTGTACTGACACCGGGATGGAGCCTTATTACCGGTAAAATGACAATAGGCGTGAGTGTTGCGTTGTAGGGACCGTTTGCATCTCCATTCGGGTTTAGCTGACACTAAAAAACGTCCTCATTCACACCGAAGTAACCTTACAACTACATGACGAGGGAGGTAATGTGCCAGTAAACGTTTGATGAAAGCGACATTTCAATTATTCACTCACACCTTTTGAAATGCAAAAATTGGCAGATTATTTTTGCAAAAGTGATGGGAGCAACAGTTTTTGCCAAAAGTGAAACTGATGAGGGAAGAAGAAGCACGGAGGTGGAAGAAGACGATACGCCGTCGACGTCAGCAGCGCACCGGTGCATGCACGCGATCAATTCAACCACAAAAGCAGCTTCACCATTGGTCCGAGGGTCACAAGAAGCAGCGTGCACCTCGCGCAAACAAGCGTCAGTAGCGGAGACTGGCTTTGTTAAAAAGCCTCCATATACACAAAGTAGGTCACATCTGTAAACACACACATCCGGCGTGTGTATTTCTACTGGATTGCGTTAATACATCTATTCCCTTGCCAACTCTGCGATGCTGCTTGGAATAGGCGCTGGGCTAATGGGCTAGCGAAGGCCCAGCTTCCACATCTAGCACCACAATGGGTTTGAATCGGAAACATTCTCACAGACTAACATCTGATCAAATTCCACAGGCACACTGTGTGACCAGTTTTAGAGAAAAAATTCTTCAATCATGACCTAACAGTAAAGCCATGTAGCACAATCTTGGATTAAGCGACGGCTAATACTTTCCGAGGACACAAAAAACAATCACGACTCTACCACCCCCTCGTTGGATGACGACGAACCGATTAGTGCTGTCAGGCTGCTGAAAACAGCGTTTCATCACGTCTAACCAAAAGCCCGATTAGGACAAGCTCAACCAACACGAAGTATGTAGTAACAATGTCACATCCACGAATCGGATAGAAAACGCGGTGTCCACACAAGGTGAGAGCGCTGAACTAGGCAGCACACAAGCTCCACATCAAAAAACACCATTCCAGGGCAGTTAAAAAACACAGTTAATTTCACCTTTAAACGTAATTCAGGAATTGTGATATAATGGGAGGAATATCAAGAGAAAGGAAATAAGATGGGAGGTGTCGTATTTCTTCAGTCCACGTACGCACACAGAAAATTCGGTCCAAACATCCGGTGCTATTTACATGGAGAACTGGGGTTATTTTGATAGAGGAAAGCTCGAAAGAATAAGGGGATGAAAGAATAATGTTGCGAAAAGGTCTAAGTATTGACATCCTGGTCGAGTCCACCATTCTCCACAATTGATGGAGAGAAGTCGCGTCCATTGCTGGAATTGGTCCCATTTTCAATCACCTGATAAATTGGAGGAAACACGCCTTTTATGGCCTCAAAGTCATGTACTCAGAGCCAAATTCCCAAAACAAGCAGAAAATTTAAAATAGCAAGTAAATAACCTTTCTGGTATAGAGTTAATTTCGACTACCAGACATTCATAACCACAAATCAGTTCTAGGCTTCGATAAAGTTAGCAAAAAATTCATAAATACAGCATTGAGTGCCTAAACAGCAGAAAAAGAATTAAAGACTACCTTTGGAAATACGATTGTGCTATCCAGACTCTTCTTGTTCCCGATGACGGCCTGACCAGATATAAAGAGTCGTAAAAAGTTACTGAATGGGCGAAGATAAAACGGAAGGACATTAATGCAACGAACGCCTCACCTCATCACCCTCCGACTGCGAGGCCAGCTGACAGAGTCTGGCTTTAAGCTGAAGTGGCAAAAAAGAAATACAGAACAGTGAGTGCAAGCAGTCTAGGTAACTGGGAAGATGGAGAAAGCAAGTCGCTCAGACTTGCCTGCGTGTTCTCATCGCAACAGTTTCGAAGGGCAAGTCGCCAGCGCTCCTCTTCTTTTCCGATGGAGCGCTGAAGGTGAGACAACGCATCCTCGGTCGAAGCGATGATCTCCTGATAGCGGACCACCTCTGCCGAAAGATGCGCACATTCACCGCAGACCTCCTCCGGTGTAGAAGACTTCATTTCAGCAGGAGCCGGGCACTTCAAGGATTCTTCGGTCTTCGCAACGAGTTCTTCTGCGTGCGCCTTCAATGTAGACACCTCGTGGACATGCTTTTCTGTCAGCTCAGTCATTGCCACTTTGGCAGCAGCCAGCTCATCCTGAGTGGAAGCTAGCTCTTCCTTGAGAAGTGCGCACTGATCCAACGCAGCTTTCAACTGAGCCTGTGCAAGACAATCGACAAAGGCGACGGCGATAGAAATGTTTGAGGAAGGTATATAAACACAAGAATGAAAGTGAGCATACCTCTGTCTCGTCAGATACCGCGCAGTCATTCTTCTCTGTTACCTCGGCCATCACCTTCTTCGTGGTAGCTAGTTCCGATTGAGCAGAAGCAAGTTCTTCTTTCAGGCGGGTCGACTGATCCAACGAAGCTTTCAAATGAGCCTACCAGGGAGAATCGAGGAAACCATGGGTCGGAACAGGCGAAAAAGACAAGCATAAAAGAGGAAAAAGGGCGAACATGCCTCTGTTTCCACCAACTGCTGTCGAAGGCCGTTGACCTCCGCCTCCATGGATGATCTAACTACATTAAGATTGTGAGTAGAAGCAGTTTGTTCTCTCTTTGCATCATCCCTCTCCTTCTGCATATTTTCTAACATCTTCATGGTGTCTGCGAGATGAAGCTCCTCAGTCTGGGTGGGGGAAAAGCAGACAAACAAAATGTATAAGCGGGTTCACTTAATTATGATAGATTAATTTCGCACTCACCCGTTTAGCCTCCATAAGCTCGCTGTGTTCCTTTTGAAGGTCATGCAAATTTCGAAGGGCTTCATCCTTTGTCTGCTCTGCTAACTGAAAAATGACCAAAGATAAGTACATTAACCAGAAGGAAACGCTATGAAGATTATGTGTACTCATGTGACAAAGTGTGCCTTGCCATGGTCACAACTCACTTCAAGTTGAGCAGTCTTGGTGGAGAGGAGTTCTTCCTTGTCTGTTACCTCCACTTGTAATTTTTTGACCACCTCACCCATTTGCTGGCGGACTGCGGCTTCCGCCTCCTTGGATGCAACGGAGGCTGCTTTACGCATTTCAGACTGTAACTTTGAATTCTGACGCTTGCTATTCTCGAGGCGCCCTTCTAGGTTCTAATCCGACGAAGAAATGGGTTAATACCCTGGACAATTCAACCGGGACACATATATCACAAACAAACGGATTAGAAAATAGAATGACCATCACAGAATTTAAATAACAGCGTTGGTCACTCTGTGTCATCGCATAATAGTCATCGACGAAACATGCTGATGCATAAACAATGCACAGAGAGAGGAGGGTGGAGGAGGAGACGGAGTGTAAACAAAAGAGCGCCACCATAATGAAAACAAATTTCGACTGTGTGTGAACCCAAGAAGCAGCTGCGTCTCGCTAAAGTCACAAGTAATGGATGATACAAACCGGATTTTGCACGTAGTAAGGATGGAATTTTTGTCATTCACACCTACAAACGTGCGAGGACTCTAGGTACATGCACGTTCAAACGTGCCTTAGATGAGGTCGCGTTGACTTCATGTGGTTCGTCGACGTACCGCCGGATGCACAAGAGAACGCAAGGCACAGCATCATCAGCATGGAGCGCCAGGAGACTGGCAATTGCGCTGCAATACTGAGTCTCAGCATTTATCCTTTAGGTGACTAGGACTAAATCTAAAGCAGCGAAGTAAAACGGCACCTACAAGTGCAAGAGTCCCCAAGTCGGCTGACGACATGCGCCTACCTATGACAACAGGGTAGCACAGAATTATTGACTGAGCTTGTTTTTGGACAAGGTATCTCCGAGATTCGGCCAAACAGCACACCTACATTAGAAGGCACACCTATGCCAGGCACTTGGCTGAAGTATCTGGGTCAGCAACACAAACGTGTTTGTGCGCGGCATGCGTAGAGAGAAGGAATGGTCGGTCCACCCCTCTCGCCCGTAGCACACACGCATGCGCAAAAACACCCGCCCCACTTAACACGCGCATCCCGTGCGGTAATAAGGCGAGGGGACGATGCGTTTGTAGTGATGATGACCCACTTCAAGTTTGGCAAAGCGGCTATCAATATAGATGAAACGCTCCAAAGCCCTTCCTGCCTTAGGGAATATCCCACTTTGTATTCATAATGAACAACTACTACACAAAAGCAGCTGAAGAGAGTAAAAGGATTGTAACACCGAGGTGACCCACCGTCTGGCGTTGAGTGAGGAGGGTGTTCTCCTGAGCAAGACGAGCGATCTCAACCTGCAGAGATAAGATCACCTTAGCCTCCGTGGAATTGGAAGATGGGGATGGCTGCGCCGAGGGTTCTACCTCTGGAGGCGTCGAGGCTTGGATCTCACACTGCACTTCCTTCGAGGCCATGGGTAAGAGTCGTCTCATCTGTTGCTGTTTTGGTTTTTCGGAAGACACCCTGAATTATGCATGTAAGCATGGGTGGGTGGGAAGGGGACGCGTTAGCATGAAGGAGACAGACTGTTGCCAACTTTATCGCAACGTATACTCACTTTTGCGATGCTTCAGTGGTTGTGGAAGGCGAAACTTGAGGTTCGCTCTTTACTTGCGTGGACAATCGAACAACCTCTTCACGCAAAACCTGTAAAAAGATTTAGGCACCAAGTAGGGAGGAAATCAAACCGGAATCCAGTCTTTAAAACAAAACCCCCACTCACAGTGAAACCATAAAAGGGGTGTGGAGAGCAAAATACAACATTAAGAACAAAAAGACGATTCCCCAAACCAGTAATTTAGTACATATAATGTAAGCAGTAAGTGATTCACCTTGCCTCCATAGAGCTGACTTTACCGCTAAGAAATTGACTTCTCTAATTATAAGTAAAAAAAACGTTCTCTCTTTTGCACTACACAATGAAAACCAATCGCCTCTAAAATTCCAGACATATGAAATTGTAATGTTAACTTTCACCCAAATGATACAATAAATTTGGTTTACTTCTGTCCGGGGAATGGTACATGAAGCATCGGTTTCGTGCGGGTGCGGAGGGGTTACATCCGAAATGTCCAATATGAGTGCCCACCCCTTTGCTTCAAAATAAAACCCAATTCTTGAGAATGCATGAGTGCCAGCGTACACGCACGCATGCATAATGAGAGCCAGAATGATAAGTCATTTGAACTCACATGAAAGCACTAGCAAAATTTTCCACGAATTAAAGCGGTGCTTAAGTTCAACTGTCTTATACACAAACACACAAAGACCCACTGGAAAGGAGACATCATTAATAAAAATCACTAAATAGGCACACAAGGATTAACAGGAGCTCACTTGGCATTCGGCTTCTTTTGCGCAGAGATGAGCTTTCATTTGAATAAAATCTGATAAGGGGATGGCCTATGAAGGAGATGAAAAACATTAATGAAGCGATTCTTCTTTCCACCTTAAAGGGCACAAGCTTTTCAGGCAAATACATCCAATATACAGTACCTAAATTGATTTGGCACGGCATTTTCTACCACAAAAATGAGTTGAGAAGAAAAACGAACCCTTGGGACACATTACCAAACGAGATACAACGACTAAGTAGACTATGAAAGGACAGCAATAGCAATAAAACTTAACACGCGAGGAGGCGCAGACTTGGATTTTACCTGCATGGAAAATCAGAATCCAAAAATCGATGTAGGAAATATAAATGAGGACAAAAACGCATTCCAGTTTAAGAAAATAAAAAGAATAAAAAGACAAGAAGAGATCTGCTAAAATGAAAAAAAGTAGCAATGCAACCGAATAAGTAAAAGCTGTTAGAGTATGAAAGTGTGCTGAGTCTTGAGGAACAACTAATGAACTAAATCAATGAGAGAGCGCAATCGACTAATTACCATAAACCCCATAAAAAAGACGAATTCATGGAAAATTCCGCGTAAATATTTTGCATTTGA